TAAAAACGGCTGTGAACTTGAAAAAGTATAGGCTTGTTTTAGTAGTTTATGTGCTTGATCCATACAGGTGGATTGTAGGCAAGAATCTGACACAGTGCAGCCCACCAGTACTCTGTCCTTCATCTCTGATATTGTTGCATTGAATTTAATTACTCATTCAATTTTGTGCATGTACTTGCACATTTCACACTTTACTAGTTTTATGTGATTCGTCTTTACAATGATGCATGGAGAGCTCTTGGCTACATGTGTCTGTCATGCTAGCCTGCATGTTAGCCTACTTTGCCAACTGGACGCAGACTGCCAAAAAAAAAAACCTTAGATATGATCCAATGTTCTCCACTATTTGAGTCTCTGCTTGCATCAGTTGTGATAAAGCATTTCCATGTGGTTAGGCATTGTCACAGACTTTTTATCTGAATGACCTTACGTTAATGTGGAAATGAGACTTGACAACAAATGTACGGTATGCCATGCATACATGTAGTTACATGTACATGTACCACTGTATTTGCAAGTTCAGTACAAGTGTACACATGTATATCTGGTAATGGAAACCACATCAGGATTCATTAAAAAGAACCCACAGTACCATACATGTACAAAAATGTTGTAAGCAAAAACCAAGTGGACGAATGTTCAATTTTAGAGCTGGGAGGGAAATCCCAGATAACATTCCGGACTTAGGCCTACATGTAGGCAAGGACTGATTCAAACTTGTACTGGTATCATAAAATACATGTAGATGTGCCAATGCACAGATTGGATGTTCTTACTTGACAAGATAATCAGTTTAGAATATGGAAATAAAATGTCGTTAAGAATGATTTGTTACCCGTACGCCATGTGAATTGTATTTTTTGTAAATGTACATGCACCTGTAACCACCTTCACATTTTTTCTCCAGTTATATGTACATGTGTGAGTTAGTACACTGTAGCATCTCAAACCAAACTAAATCCAACAGTCCTGTTACATGTACAGTAGGTGTATTGTGAAGTGTACGGTACCAGTTGAACAAGTACATACATGTACATGTAGCTATGGTCACGGCAATCTTTTTCACTACACAGAGTTTAAAGCGTCCTTGTGATGAATTTCTCCTAGTCACTCTGGCGATGTGTGATTGTTCTCAAAAGTACAGAAAATACATGTACAAGTACATGTATGTACATGTACATGTATGCATGGTACATGTTTAGGAGCCATGTTGTTTGAAGTGCATGCATCCTGTTTTCAAGCGAGCAAACCAGTTCATTGATAAATCATATTACAAGTTTACGGGACAGTTTGCTCAAAGAGGAATTCATAATGAGAGATTAACCGAAACTGCTAACTGCATCATGGGTAAAATACGTGATGTACTATGGATGTTCATTAGTATTTTCTGCTTGATGTACAGTACTGTACATGTACATTTACATTGCTGTTTTGTGGGCCCTGCCCTCTAAACCTCAGTAGAAAATGTTTACATCACACTTGAAATTTATTGTACTCCATTTGTGAAAATTGCATTGACATGAATATTTTAAGACAGTCCATAAGATACAATAGATAAGACAATGTACCATACAGTGCTCTGTACGAGTAACAATGGAAGGAACCTAGCCTGAAGTAGTAATTTGTAGCGCTAGATCCTTCAGGCTTAGACTATTACTTAGTATTTTGTAGTACTGTGTAGTGTAAGCCAAAAAATATTTTTGCTGGTTAGGGTTAAAGCTTGCATTGTACATCGATATATGGATTTTACTCGCTTTTTTGCGGTCGATTTTTTTTACACTAATGACAGAATCGAACGACATTCGCGACTGCCGACTTCAGGACCCAATTAATTGTGAGAGGTACTTTTTAATATCGTGATTATGGTTTTAATATGTGTAAATATTATCACCTTTCACCACAAATAAATCTGTGTAAAATAACCTCAGGGATTATCACTCCTCAGTAAATTCTATTGGCTCGGACTTTGACAGGGAATTCATGTCCCTCAAAATTGCTAACGTTCGAGACTTTAATTAATTAACTCCAAGTAAGTTGAAAGGTTGACACGGTCATCATTGTTCCAGATATCAGCCATGACTTCCCTCATTACATCAGACATTGGGAATTAATTCACTGCTGTTCACTTCAGGAAAAATGAACCCCCAAAGTTGAACATTATCTAATGGTCCGTATTTTGAGGAACCTGCCTTATGCATAGATGGTCCTAGAAACAGGACGTCATGATGACGTCATCCAGTGATTTATTATTGATTTTTACATATTTATTTTAGCCCATTGACTTTGTACACGTTTTTCGAGGCTCTAATTTGGTACCTTAGTAATCATTGATCGTCTTCAAAGTTATGGCAAACACTAACTATAAAAACGAAGATAATACTGAAATATTTACGTCATGATGACATCATCAAATGATTTGTTATTAAATTTTGAATATTTAAATATTCCGTTGAATTTATAAAAATCCATATAAAACCAACCGTGGCCTCCCGCAGCATTCGGTTGAAGCAAGTGGCAGGATAAAATGTGGTCTTGAATTCATCTCGTGTTGGTCAAATCACACGACCCTTCCTTCCGGTGGAAACTGGAAGTGGTCTTATTGTTTAAAAGTGGCAAAAGGTATCGAGTTGTTTTCAACAGTGTTAGTCTGTTGGGGTATAGTATTCTTCAAATCATCGACTGATGATGTCACCTAATTGTCTAGCGCCCTCTAGCGACAGGTTAAAAATTCTGAAAAATGAATTTGGAATAGATGTCTGTGGCGAAGTTTGTCCGAATCGCCTGAAAATTGATGTAGATGACCATCTTTACCCAGTCAACACGTGTGAAGTTTGGAGCTGATGACGTCATCAGACCGGAAGTTATAATAAAAATGTCTTTTATTCTTCAAAATTTGGTAAAAAATCTACGATAAGAGATATAAGTGTGAATGTGCATGAGATGACAGCTAAAACTTTGGAGTCAGCTGCATGAAGTGCATAACTGGTGTAATTTTTCACACGCATGAAGCCCCATCGACAAAAACCCCCTTACAATATAAGTTGCCAGCTCGAAAATCCCAATCACATACCCATACTGTGCATTGGCTACTCTGTGCGTGGACGCCCAATAGCTGCCTGTAACATAGATGGCGCACAGTGTGTAGGGCATATACTCGGGACCTGGCAAATTGCTGAGCACGTGGTGGGGAGAGCAGATCGCATTGTATGGAACGCCAAAATGGACAAATATTTAAAATGTCTACTCTGTGCCTTTTCCGCAATAACTATAATGTTTTATATTGTACATGTACAGGTAATTATTATTGTACATGTCTGATTGGCTTGAAACCTTGCAGGTAGTTGGGAAGGGAAGGTTTACAAACAGAAATTAACCTCACGTTATGGCAATGCCATAAGAAGACGAGTTACCTGACATTTAAGGTAATCATTTAAATTACTATATCTCCTGAAGTGTATATCCAATTGTGTTCAAATCTTGCTGATATCTTGAAAAGGGAGTGCTTTTAATATTGACCTCATGTGACGATGATATCGTGAGGAGAGAAGTCACATGACATCAAAGGTACACTGTTTAAGATCCTACAGTATATTTCCAGTTCAATCTGGTTGAAACTTTGTGGAAAACTTGAAAGAGGTGTTATACAAAAAAAGGACTTGATGTCATGATGACTTAGTTGTTCAAATGTACAAAAGCATGCAAAAAAGCCCTCTGTTCTGTTGTCAAACAGACAGATGATCTCTCATTTGGACTATTTTCATACAATGCAACGCATCGGTCATGGAGTACTGTACATGACCGTTCATGCGTGGATCGTTAGCGAACAGTAATAATCCCAGCCCAGTGTACCATGTGTCAGACATCAATGTCCCAAAATCAATGACATGCCAAACCTAATTAATTTGAACCTACACTGTACAGTGTAATTACCAGCGGAGTGGTGGTGAATTCATGGGCATGCAGTCAAAAACTGTTATGTGCATTATTTATCTGTTTGTCAGTGTACGGAAAGGTTTTTCCCCCCACAGTTACTGGTAGTAGTAGGTCCCAAGTTTCTAGACACAAGAAATTGTCTCCTCAACATGGGGTAGGCCGAGGCATAGTTTCAAGCAGTTTTGCCATGTTGAAAGTACAGTCATTTGCAAAGGTTTAGGACCACCCATAGAAAATGCATTAACCTGAAGAAAAAACCAAACTGAAACCAATCAGTCATGGCAACTTAGGTTTATTTTCAATGTGTAACCTTGGTACCTTGGTTGAACATTTTTGACCACATTTCCATGATTTGACATGTTGGCAGTCTAATATTCTGTGTTCGTTCCTTTATTTCTGATCGCTTAGACTGGCTTTTTTTTACCGCTGTTGCCTTGCAGACAAAATGTCATACAAGACCTGCCTTTGCAAAAAAATTCATTCAAATGGGTACATGTACAATGTACATGTATAGACTGGTACATGTACATGTACATATATACATATAGCACTACACTGATGTTATGTACCACTGTAAAATCATGTTAAGTAATCATTCAGTGAGACAGTGTAATGCAGGCCAAGTGACAGAAATACCAATAAAATTGAAGGTGGTCTTAAAGTTTTGCTAATGACTGTATTACTACACCCTACACATGTACATGTGTAAGAGTGCATTTTGTACATGTACATGCAGATATAAAACTTGTGCAGGTGCTGCTGTAAGTCATGTTTAAACATCACTACTCAATACCGGTACTAATGGACCCCTGCAGAGAACTGGCTTTATGCTTTGGTTGACACATTGATATTGATGAATGTCTGAAAACCTGCCATCATTGCCAGTTACCATAGCAACCGCATTAATGTGTGGGTTGTCTACATGAATGCGATGCCTCAGGTGCAGCCATCCAGTGATCAGGTGCAATGAAAAATCCTTATACATTTATCAAATTGTAAATTCTTTGTTTCATTTGTTGGTGCAAATTGTTGTGGGTGTTTTCCTTGACCAGGCTAAAATGTTTCAGAAACTGGATGAATCTTCGAGATGCTGAATCAGGGAAAATCCTATGGCAAGGCAATGAGGATCTGTGAGTATGCATTCTGCTACACTCAATCCCACCCATCCTTCAAGTTTGTTTTCTTTCTCAGATAAAACATCTGGTGTTTGAAGCAAATATTGGGTGGTTATTCAAGAGACACATGTACTTCAAGTACAAAGTGTTAGACATTGGGAGATTTGTTGGAATGGGAATTCTGTTACTCTTTTTCCTTCTGTTTCCAAAACTGTTTACAGGTTTGTTACCTTTGTTGTTGACTTAAAGCACATACATACCGGTACATGAAGTGACATTTATTATGGAAAAATGAAACAGTCCTACTGGTACATGTACCAACTCTCAAATAGAAAAACAAATGACAGCTGGCTTTCCTAATGCATTGTGCACATTGCATGTCCAGCTTTTAGGCATTTATGATTTTTTTCCCCATTGGGTAGAGAGAGCATGTAAAGAGCGTGCACTCAAATCATAAAGCTATCATGTAATTCAAAGGTTTCAGGTGGTTTTGAGCTTTTGAAATGGCAACTTCATGGAATTTGGGACTTGCACATGAAAAACACTTTTGCAGAGCATGGCCTGTCAAGCATGTGGTGTTCTCATTTAATAAGAGAGCTTACCTATGAGTTGATGTGCAATGGTACATGTATATTGAACAAATTCTAGAGGTTAATGATGGACAAATTTCTGTAATGGCAGGAGGGGATACTATTTATTAGAGTTTGACCTATACGTTGAAATGTTCAGAGTGAGTCAGTTAAGGTTTCGTCCTTTTTCATGTGTTCAGTGGTGGCTGTCAAGGCAAGCTGATGACTTTATAATGTTCACACAGCAAGTCATCCTCAGTATGAATTGTCTGTTTAATAATGGTAGGCATGCATTATACCGGCACCTACAGAAGTTGTGCATGTTTGGTCTGCAGTTAAACACTTCTTTTAACTAAATACACCACAATCAAAGCTGACTAAAACTGTTGTCACATTGGGACTTAGTGGTTTTTTATTTGAAGGTTCTTTGTAGGGGTGTCAGCACCGGTACCTGAACTTGGTTTATGCAAAATTCTATCCATATTCTGTGAAATTCATTGCTACAAGTGTGAGTGCTTTGGTTAATCCTTGTGAGCAGTGCTAAAATGTAATGCTAGAATGAATGCAAGGAATACAGTCCCTGTTTTCAGACAAACAAGCTGAAGTGAAGTAGTTTTTGCATACTCAGAAGAAATTTGTGATGCAGGGATGTATTCAAGCTGGGATGGGATTTATGTAAGATTCGTTAGACAGTGTACCGTACCGGGAACAATACTGGTACTTTGATAAGTTACATGTATATGCACATACTGGTACGAAGTTTCCAGACTCTACCCAAACGTTGTATGTACATACTTGTATAGAACAAGTAATGAATGTTTAATGTTCATGCCATGGAAATACATGTAATAATTTCATTGACACTTCTTACCATTGTACATGTAAATATTCATTATTTACTGTGGTACAACACCCTTAATAAATTCTTGTCATCGATGATGTGTTATTAAATTATTTATTCTTACAACCAGGTACCAGTTGATAGAACTTTCTTCTACTTGATATGCAGGATCATGCGTGTAAACGCAAACACTGTTCCATAAGAAGATGAAGATGTCTGAACTCACAAGTGATGTGTAAACAGGTTATGGTTTGATTTGAATACAAAGAAACAAATTGAATATGTCTTTAAACAAATACAGCCAATTGAAAGACACTCGGGAGCGCCTGTTGATGTACATGTATTGACTAGACTTGGACAACTTCTCGTCCAATTTATGGGCAGGCCTGAGAAAGAAAACGGTGAAATGTACACAGAGGATTTTAATATTGAAGGGTCATGTGAAACAAATGAGGAATGAATTCTGCATTCATACAGTGGAATGAATAATTTCATTCACTGGCAGATGGATTGCTTCATTTCACGTGGCTTCATCTCGTGGAATAGAAAATTCTACCTGTCACCTCAGGAAATTTTTATTACCATTGTACCAAAACAGTGCAGTATTTGTGTACTTGGTGCATGCAGTGCAGAATCAGAACAATGTTTTTTTAATGTCATGAACTTGCATACAGTTCTGTCATCTGACCTCTTTGTGCAATTCAAACAAAACTTAATCATTTTTTTTACATATAAACATATTCATTTCATCCTGTGCTTTATACATGTTCATGTATACACACGTACATGTATAAGAAAAGAGATATTACTGTATGATGCAGTTGTTGCTCATGTCTTATGTACGTGTAGTGCACGCCTCAACAGCAAATTGACAACGAGTATAATTGGACTTTGACATGCTATATATAATACATTTACCAGTACACTGTACGTAGGTTTTGTCCAACTTTGTGCTGGCATTATGACAATGTCTACATTTGTATGGACATGACGGAATTGATGGTGTTACCATGGAGCTGTGGTGTGACTTTTGGCACACAATGGCCATCATAGGACATGTTTGCCTAGTCACGCTTGTGTGCACAGCCTTTTACATGAATTATGGACAAACTTAATGAAGTTAGTATCATCAGGCACACCCATGCTTGTTTCACATGCTCAGTGCAGACATTCCTTTGTTCTGTGATCCTTAAGAAAGCTCGGGGAAAGTGCTCCTTTTTTCTCATTATGTTAACTCCTTTGAGCTGGGTTTTTGATAATTTCCTGGGCTGTTCCCCTTCATTTTGTCACAGATGTACATGTATGCTCATGTGCATGTCACCCTGTTTTCAGAGAGGAGAAAAGTCGACTTATGAGTCTACACAACATCTTCTAATCCCACATTAAAACCCTCCTATGCAAAGATACATTCTTGACACAGTTGTTAAATCAGTCTAATTTCCCATATGGGCCTGTGTACTGGGGCAAATCAAGTGGAAGGAATTTTTGACTCGTTTTGACTGTTACAGCAGAGGAAGGGTTAAGTGGACTTCTATTTTCACCATTCTTGTGCGTGTGTGTGAACTAATGTGAAGTTTCCAAAAACATGCATAGAGACTCATGGATACACCACGCTGCATGTACGTACATACCCGTGCGTGTAGGGTAGACTAAACGTGCTTAGTAATCAAGGAGCAAATGGCAACATTTAGAACTCCATTTCCTATGCAACTGAATTGAATTGAATTTATCACAACAAAAAATAAGAGAGTTGTTCTCAGTGTTGTTTCCATGTACATGTTCATGTACTGAAGTGAATGCATGACACACACAATTACATGTACTGGTATGTGAATAAAAGGCGTTAGTGCGAGAGCCAGGGCAGGAACCAACACGCGCATTTACTCCATTCATTTGTGCTATATTTCCCGGTTCTACAAGTACACAATGTCACACTTTGGTACTCTACAAGTGCTAGGATTTACAAAGTACATGTACATTGTACAATGTACATTTACATGTATGTATCATGTACACTGTACATGTCTGCATACACGCCTCATTCAAAGTTTCAGTTTTGTACATTTACATACATGTAACTAGCGAAGTGGAATTGGAGAGAAGAACTTGTTTCTTTTGGGGATTGTTTTTCTTCCCATGTACATGTATTTTGTGATGACGTGAACGTACATGTACAATCTTGAAAATCAGTATACCACCATAATGTACGTTCCTTAATTGTGCAATGATGTACCTGTTACAAGTGCCAGGATGTACATGTAGTGATGTGTCAGTACTGTGCCCAAATATAGAAGGCTACATACATGTAAATGTGCACGCACTTGCAGAGTGTACACGTACATATATGCTCAATTTTACTGAGTGAATATTTGTAGTTGACAATGTGGGTCAAGGTTGGCATCCAGAATGCATTAAAGGCAGACCCCTTTATTTTACATGCACTAATTCTGCTGTACATGACACGCAAAATGTGTACGTACAACTGTACCAGTGGATTTTCATACGGACAGTTTGGGATAGTTTTGTGATGTTTCTGAAGCTTTGTGGTATTTATTTAGTGGTTCATTGTTACTTTGCATCCCCTTTTGAATGACCAATTCTTTTTATCCATTTAAAAAATTTCCTGTTTGCATCTCCAGATCTCAACCAGAGGTGGAGCATGAAGCCAGGGTTCCTAAGAAAATACTCAAATGCAAAGCTGTGTCCCGGGAAATCAACTTCTCATCTCAAGAGAAGATGGAAAAGTTCAGACTTGAGCAGCGGGTGCTCTTCAAAGGGAAATGCCTAGAGGGTAAGTAAGAAGGTAACCCAAAAAGCTGGCTTAGATTGTTGTTGCATTTTTGTGTTTTTTATTGGGGGGTGAGAGTGGTAAATTTTCCTCCTTTCTGGTCTCAGTTGAGACAAGGCCGTAGGCCTCAAGCTCCTGTCAGCCATGCCTGTAAAAATGACTTCATGTATGTGAAATATTCATCCTTTGAGATTTATTTCTGCAGGCCTTTCCTGATTTCCTTTGCAGATACCAGTAGTTGGATAATGCTGTCAGGAATTGGTGGACAAAAAAGTGATAGCTTGCTCTCAAGAGGGCTGCTGTGCAATGGACACATGACAAATACTTGAAGAATGCCCGAGGGGCATTATCCTTTTCGAATTTTTGATAACTGATTGGAATTAGAGACATGAGAAAAGATTAAGATGGTGTGGGGTTGCTGAGAATTTTGGTGTTTCATGTCAATTGCGTGATACTTGATGTCTTACTTAGGAGCTTGCAAGCTGTGTGAACATTGCACGTAGCACATGTATTTGTGCATTTTGTCAGAGATAAACCTGTATGACTTGTATGTGTAAGGAAATGTAGTGATCCTCATCAGGTATTAGAGATCAAGTTCATGTACATTTACATTTGCACAAGCAAGTTACACAATTTGTTTTTGCATACAGCTACCTGCTGTCTTAAATTATTATTCAGAAAGAGGAGAGTGAGGTGGCACTCCAAGACAAAATGCAGACACGTGGACCGACTTTCTTCTAAGTGGCATGTATTTAATATGCACTTTGCATGGTAATTAACTTAGCCAGAGTTTTCACAGGCAAATTTTAGCTACTTGAATAGATTGTACATGTAGATTGACTTGCTCCGTTGCCAACTCATCTCCGTGCCAACTTGCTTCATTTTGCTACTTCAAACAAAGCAATTCGTCTTGTGCCTGCTTTGGCAGAGTGATTGATGAAAGCCAGTAGGTCATCGACAAAAATGATAGTAAAAAAAAAACCACAAACATCATAAAGTGGCAAAGGAACTCAGGAATGTACTGGTACATGTACTGATACATACCAGGGTGAGGGGGTAGGTTGACGAGGAGGAAGGCTGATCAAACACCTGTGTATGGGTTGTTACATGATAACTTAGTAACTTCCATCATCATAACCTGACAGAGTGGCTTTGTTGTGCAGAAACAGTCTCGGCTTCTTCCTGTACAAATGTGTTGAGTTTGTGCAAAGGAGCTTTCTATTGAAGTCTTGAAAACAATCTTCAGTTGTCAGTGCAGTACATGTACCAGTATATGCCATGTAGTAATTGGACCCAGGTCCTTCACAGTTGGAAACTGTTATGAATTGGCACTTACATGTACATGTACATACAGTACATGTACTGTACACATGTAAGTCCTGACTTTATCTGCAGATGGATTTGAAACTTCAACTTCTTCTTGTCCCCACAGAGTGGTACTTTGACTTTGGCTTTGTTATACCCAACTCAACCAACACGTGGCAATCCTTGATTGAAGCTGCTCCAGAGAGCCAAATGATGCCTGCAAATGTACTCAGGTATGCTGAAAAGCATTGTGGCCTACATGAAAATCAGTCCACTTTCAGCCTCTCTCAAACCACCTTATAAAGATTTTTTCCTGACTGGATTTTCGAATTGCTTGTCTTGCCTGTGATGGGCTTGGGCTTGGTACATGTACGTGTACCTTGGAAAAATAAAATTCATTCCCAGTAAAGTCTCAATACAAATATGTTTGGACGCAAACCTACATGTACCTGTTCAAGCATCCACACTCAACAGTGTAGTTTTGCCATATCTCTGCATGTATAGCCTGAATTTAATTATTTTTGAATACTGAAAATGAGTTTATCATGAAAAAAAAATACCACCAGTAGTTTATGAATGAAGATCAATGTGAAGAGGGAAGCAGCTGCCCAACACAGTGAACAGCCTGTAGTTACAGTTGGATATTTGGCGTAGGCTAAATGCGGAAGGCCTGATGTCTCCTGCAGGTGGCTTTTGCTTTAATTGATTAGATTTAGGGATTTCATGTGTGATATTTTGTGAAGCTTTTCAAGCATGGGAAGGGGAAAAAATGGGTCGTTGATGATCAGAACTGACAAGGTGTTTCATTACCCTGGATTGGTTCAGGGTTTTGTCTGGTTTTCTCAGGAATAGAAACCACAGGATTACAGCCATAATCATAGAGCTATAGTATATAAAACTACAGCACTGACTGATGCACAAAGTGATGCCTGGTGGTTGCATCCATGTTTGTGATCAAACCTTTGAAAAATCCAAAATTTTGTATGGCTTTTGTATAGCTATTTGCATATCTGCATCTGTATTTTAAAATACAGATGTTCTGTGCAAACAATGCAAACCCAAGCGCATATGTGCTGCAGATAAATTTAGTTTGCCTTGATTGTTTAAATCGTATTTCATTGATACCCGATGTGCATTGCATTGAGATTGCTCAATAGTTGGATATTTGCTCCCTGTGATTTTGAAATGTTCTACAAGCATACATTTGGATTCAAAATGTCTGCACCCATGATGGTGTCAAATTTTCTCTCTGCGGAGAATGAGAAGTTAGCACTTGAGTAATTTAACAAAATGTTACATGTATGGTCCAAATTGACCTGTTGTGGTAGAGTTGCACAGGCATCTTGTGAAATGTTGTGCAATTACATGATATACAGACTGGGACACACAGAATCTGAGACAAACAAAACTCAACATATAATATACATGTATGTGTACAAAATTTGGTGAGGCAGTCTGAGGGGCATGGCTAACTCATGAACAGCAAGAGGTCAGTTCTTGAAAGAGAAAGACTTTTGTCTTGAGTTTGGTGAGGTAGTCTTAGGGGCATGGCTAACTCATGAACAGCAAGAGGTCAGTTCTTGAAAGAGAAAGACTTTTGTCAGGAGTCTACATACGATCTGTCTGGCAATCTCACATTAAGACCATTTTATGCTTTAAGAAGGAGTGAAAGCCAAGTAACTTTAGTTTTGTCAGCAAAGAAGTTTTGATGTTTTTTCACTAGCTTTCCAAGCGTGATATTGGTCATTCCATACATTCATGGTCCAAAAGCAAGTCATTACTGTGTCCCTGTCACACCCAACCTGTGTAAGTTAATGTGGAAATGTCATCCAAATTGACTTAGAGCCATTTTTATTTGTTTGGCAGGTACATGTAATTTTGCATAAGTAATTAAGTGGCTCACAGAAAAATGTATTCCAAGGCCCCCCCTCCAAAGTCTCCAGTTTCTGGTCAGGAGCTAGCTCCAAAAGTGGTGCGGCGACACTTTTGGTTTTTTACCCTCACTTTTTTTTTGGAAATGAGGTACATGTACATGTATGTACCGTATGATGAACGATGTCTATCGCGACTGCATGCACGGGTAATGCCGGCTGCTACCAACATTAAAATAGACTGACCCCATACTTTTTGCTGTTTAAAAGCATTTTCCGTTTGTATATGTACACAGGATATAAGACCACCTGATCTTGTTTGTGTGGTTCCCAGATGTACGATACAGAAATGACGTCACCTGAAAAAGAGTGCCCAACTAAATGTATAGGGAATTACGATAAAGGGACTCCTTTACTGTACATGCTACTCAACCGTACCCAATCAAAACATGTTACAATTATGCAGTAGCTGGATTCTAGTCAATTGAGAAAGTTTGGCAGATTTTGGACATCATTTTATACCAAATAAAAAAACTTTCTTATTTTGCCGACGCACAGGTCTACGGTGATGCACATGCTGACCAGAAACCAGAGACTTGATTTTTTTTATGGGAGGGGGCCTAAACTTACAAAATCATATGTCAGATGTGACAGGGACACACAAAAATGGAACAGCATATTCATAAAATGACCATCTGTTCTGTGAAAATGAGACACAAGTTGCCAGGGCTATTTTGGAGTTTATAATGACCTCTCAAAGAATCTTTCACAATGTAAAAATCAATACGAACCCTCTTCATTTACATATTTTATCCACATAATTTCCGTTTTCATTAACATACCAGACTGAGTGATACAAAGAGCTCATTTTACTTTTTCCAATGCAAATTGAAACTCAAAATTGGCTTTGCAACTTCTGACTCATTTTAACAGAGCAAGTTCCAAATCTGCTTCTCTCTTAAATTTCCTGATTTCTAAAATGCACAGAGAAACTTAAAGAACAAGACACACTTCAGCAAAGAGGATCCGTGGATCCTAACTTTAAAATGTGTGAGATATCTTTCTGGTGGTTTAGAATATATTAGTTTCAGGCAAAACCACTTGAAGTGAGATTCAATGCCACCAACTTATCTTTACACATACTTTGTACCAAATACCGGTAGCATCTTGAAAACATCCGGGCATGTTTACTTGCGTAGTTTTATTTGTTGCCCTCGACTGTGTTTGCACAATAACATGACTGTTTATTTCTTTCTTTATTTTTCATTTACAGTGGCAGTGTTGTTATAGAAACTAAATTCTTCGATGACGACCTTCTTGTAAGTACATCAAGAGCACGGGTGTATTATGTTTGAGAGCTAGGAAATAAACAATACATCGTTATATATTTGGACATCAGATTTTTTTACTATTTTTCTGATAGTTCTGGACAAAAAGAAGCTGTGTATGTGAATGTGTTAGATTAGAAGATAGAGGATAAGTTAATTGAGATAACCTCTGCAGTATGCAAGTGACCTTTATAGAAGTTTGGTAAGATGTGATTAAAAGTCATCATATCATTGGAAGTGAAAAGAAAGCCTGTGGTATCAAGGTTCAGGACTTGGATCTCATTCAGAACATGAAGTTTTTTAGATAAACCCCCCTCGTGGCCTTTATTCATACAGTCCTTAATTTGTTTATTGTAGTTTTACCTCGCATGCGCATACATGCAGCTTGGTTCATACATTTACATGTAAATGTACATGCAAATAGGTTGGATCATTTGCAGATGTTGCATACCAGAGGGTTCCTATTTTGTACGCATTCACTGGAATTCTTCCAGTCTCTGTCCAAAGAGTCTGAAAATGCATCTGTACATGTACATTGTGGTTTGATACAGTGCAGTACACGTCTATGTATGTGTTGTTTTTCACAATTTGGCCCAAAAGAATTTAACTTCTGGAAGAAGTGAAACAACTACTGTACTCGGGTTGGAAATAGGTCATTCATTTTTGATTGCAGATGGCTGTCTTCTTGAGACAAGCATACCCCAATACTTTCAACATTCCATGATAAATATTTCCAGTCATTTTTAGGGAAGGCAGTTGTTATACGCAACTGTCTTAATGATTAGAAAATGCCGTCCTTTATAAAGCAAAGTTGCATGTAAATATCTACATGAAGATTAAAACAGTTGTATTCATTTTGTCGAACGTATTATATTTGGATATCAGGCTGTACTGCAAATGTGCATTAGATGACCACCAAGATTTTTGATGAATGAACGTGGGTTTTGTTTCTAAAGATGATAGGAAGAAGAAGACATACATGTAACTTGAAATATTTTACGGAAGGAAATGTGTAGCTAGCCACACTAAATAACTGAACAATTTAATTATACCTGAACCATCTAAACATGGGAGCAGGATTGCATGTGTTAACCGTATCGTAACTTACATGTACATGTACATCCAAATATTCTCATATGTGTACAATATGCATGCAGTATATTCACTAATGACTCTGTCCCTGTGTAGGTTATACCATGACACCTACATACATGTTCTGTTGGCCCTGTGTTCACTACTCTTCCATGGTTTGGTGCAGTGAACAAGGTGTGTACTGTACAAGCAGGTTGGTGTTAAAAAGTTGACACTGAGCACACTGCGCAATGGGATTATGAACCCTGGTGAACATGTACATGTGGCTCAGTGAAAATACATGTACTTGTGCATAAAGTTTGCCCGTTGACTGACTTCAAGCCCTGAAACAACAGTAAAATACACCAAAAAGACCATAGGGGAAAAAATCACCCAAATTGTGGCATCTTGT